TTATACTTGAGTATATACGGTATGTTCTGGTGTAATCCATAATGAAATCTGCGTCACTGACCTCCATTAGTAAATGCTTCAAGTTTTCTTCATTTGGGGCAAGTAAGGTTGAGTCATCTGCATATAAAAACAACCAACCCAAACGTCACTGAGCTGGTCCCACCATGCAGTTCCTCTCCAGGAAGGAGAATCCCTCTAAAGGGTCTTGGAGGCTCTAGATCTTGACTGGAGCAGAAAGTCTCATCTTTCTCCTGCAGAACAGCCTGTGTGGGTTTGAACCAACACCCTTATAGTTAATAGCCCAATGTTTAGCCCATTGGGGTGCCTTCATCTGCAGACAGTAGATTGCTAATGAGTCTTTTTCCAATCTTGACACTGCCTTCTTTACATAGCTCAGCTTTTCAGATTTGTTCAGTATACAGACTGAGTAAGTAAGGGGAAAGAAAGCAGCTCTTGTTCAGTTTGGTTCTGCTGCCTCTTGACCCTGGTACAGGTTCTGCGTGAGCACAATAAAGTTCTGGGATTCCCATTCCTTACAGCCTTATCTATATTAATTATGATCCACAGTTAGATGCCTTCATATAGTCAACAAAACACAGGTGAACATCTTCCTAGTATCCACTGCTTTGGGCCAAATTCCACGCTACAACAGCAATAATACCCACCGCAGTGACATCTTGTTCTGAGTCTGACTTGAACTTCGGCCAGGTCACCATCAATGAACAATTTCAAATGTGCTTGCAATACCTCTGGCAGAACTTTGCTAGTATGTGATATCAATGCTACTGATTTGATAATTTCTACATTGAGTGTGGTCAACTTTCTTTAGAAAAGGCACAAATATAGATCAGATGGCCAGAGTGGTTTTGCAAATTTCTTGTCATAGATGAGTAAGCACTTGCAGCATACTATTTTAAAACCGTATCTCTAAAATTAAAGCAGATCAACACATAATATTTTGTGAAAAACAAACTATGTGATTTAATTACTGAACATTGAAGGAAAAATTGCATCTTTTGCTTTTCTCCTTCAAAATAACATAATATGCCGTACACATGCACATAACTTTACTGTATAACCAGATCGACCATGCGCAGAACAAACAGAGGCCCTAGAAAGTCCTGAAAACCCAGGGGAGTGTGGGGAGCTGGGAAAGAGCAAGGAGGAAGATAAGCATTTGTGCCTAACCTTTTAACATTAAAAAAGAAGTCAAACAGGGATAGAATGACTAATAAGCAGAGATGGATATGGTTAACTCTGCAGCACTGAGCCAATCCCATAATAAACCAGCAAGAAAAACCACTGCTGAGTCGATGCTGACTCATAGGGGCCCTATTGACAGAGGAGGGCTCCTGAGATTTGATAGCATCAAATGTACAGACACCAAGGTGGCAGCCTAGCAGCAAGTCCGGCAGGATCAGCAGAAGGGAGTGCATCTGTGCTGCAGAAAAGAAGGTTTGGGGCTCAGACTGGGATCCCAGGTGGTGCCCACTAAAAGGCTGGAGGCGGTTTTGCTAAGTATAAAATGCTTAAAACTCTCAGCTGGAGAGTTTCTGAGCCAGTCTAGATGGGCATGTTAGGAAGTAACCTAAAAGAGGAAATTCTTAATCAAAGTTGATCTAGGATCTGTAATAATGAATCAGAAGATAGAAATAAAAGCCATCAATTTAGAAAACGATAAAAATATCCAAAGTCAGAGGCATTTCAAAAAATAGAATAAAAAATAAGGAGTTAATAAATTATAAAAAAAAAACAAGCTAAGATTTAGCTGGGCAAAGTGCAAATTAGTAAATTTATGAATAAAAAGAAAGTAGTACCGGCATAATATAGTGTGTGTGGGCGGGGGGGGGGGGTGGGGAGACTCCCAAATCTGCATATGGTCTTTTAAAAGCACAATGACCTGTAAAATGAATATAAGAAATATAGTGCTGGTGTTACATAGCTCCAGCCACAAATCATCTCTCCTGTACCTTCATAGATTATCTACCCTTTTTTTCTAACAGCGTTTAATATTTAACTTTATACAAATGTCTTTCTTCTTGTATCTGATTATAAACTCCTTAATTATTCTTCACAAAGTAAGTGTTCAATAAATACTGACTTAATTAAAAAGAGTGTCAATTACTAAGAGGGTAATTTCACTAGGCTGAAAATACAACTACAATAAGAACAAGGACCTTCATACTTCAGAAAACACCTTCAAATCTGTTGTTTTATTTGATCCCACAGCATCCCCAGCAGAAGGCAGGCACGTGTCATACAAGGGTCATTTCAAAGACTGTGGGAAACT